TTTTTTTACTGTACTGACAAACTGAGGTCACTGAGGTCATATGAAATTAGGTTAAAAAAGGTCTTAAACATTTAATAACATTTCATGCTGCTTTCATTTCATCACCTTAATTAAAATATTAAGCATCTGCATCTCTGCTCAGCATCAGGTCTCTACAGTTGTAATGGCACAAAACTACTGAAACAAAGATTAATCTATGTAAGAGAGTGAACATTGTGAACAAGAAAAGGAAATTTGAAATTAATAATTGGTATCCTATTAAGAATAACAAACCAATCAACATTACTGCCCTGGAGTCTGGTTTATGGTGTAATGCAATAGAATTTCACTCTTTAAATACAATAATAAAATAATAATTATACTAATTCTTTATTTAATGTACTAAGAAAAGAAGATCACTCAAATTAACTTTAATCCTTCTAGAACTAAAATCTATCACTTGTGGTCATCTTGAAACTGAAAGCTGTGCTCGGTCATTTCTGAGCAGAGTTTAGGATTTGTTGCTGAAAATTAAGGCAGTGTGAAGAAAATAAATATTTAAATAATGTTTTACATGAGAACACTGTGAAAAGACATGAAATAATGAGTTTTACACCGTAACAATGCATTGTATGTTCAATAGAAAGCCATTTGTATTCGGCCATAAGACTCTCCAGCTAACATTTGCTGCTGTACCCTAGGGGCTGAGGCAGGTTGCAAGTGTCAAATGGCTTTATTAAGGGCAGTTCAATACTCAGGGCAGGCATCAATGGGCCAGTGCTCTCTGTTGCACTGGCAGAGCCTTGAAACCCTGCACTCTCTCACTGGTGTTCTCTGGAGCTCTGTTTGCCGGTGTGGAATCCAGCGCTGGCTTGCAGATGGAAAGACATTGGTATAGTCCCCACCTTCAAAATTCTTTGGGGAGCCTCCTCTTACAGCAGCGGGCCAAAGGCAGATTGAAAGAGGTTCACAGGTGAGACACTCAGTCTAAGGCAGGCCCTCGCAGCAACAATACCACAAAGGCCACTTCAGTGTCCCCAGATTGGAATGACTCATTAAAGTGGGCCATATAGGAGAGGCACTCAGCCATAAAGTCCCAGCATAGCACTGGCTCCCTGTGGTAGAAGCAGGGGTATGCTGGCAGTGTGGAGTTTGGCTTGTTGGTAGTCAAGGGTGTAAGGTAACTCGCTGTAGCCTTGATCAGTGAAGTCTTCTATAAAGTAGGGGCTGAGGCAGGTTGCAAGTGCGAAATGGCTTTATTAGAGGCAGTCCTGATAATCCTCAATACCCATTGTCACAGCCTCCAAAGGTCAAAACACAGGAAGGCAAAATAAGAGGCAGATCTATATTAACAAAACCAAGAAGCAAGCAAGCGTCACAAGCAAGAAAACAACACAACCAAAGGAAGAATGGCTAGAAACTCAGGTTAACAAACACAGTGACTTCACAAACAGGGAAAACAAAGAGGATGAAGAAGAAATCTTATCGACTCCAAGATCACTGGACTTCAATCACTGGATGCACTAAAGTTAGACATTTGCTTTGAATTATTCACAAAGCCCATTTCAGTCTTTGTAGTCAAAGAACATTGTAACTAACATGTTTGCAGACAGCTGATGAGCGCAGTGTTTTTAATTTTGTTTTTGGCTTTGGATGGGTAGAAAACAACATACTCTATGGGACAGAATCTCAGTTTTAAATGTCACCAGTTACATATTTTAGCAGCAACTGGAGCTTCAAGTTCGAACACTGGCACACTGATAACAAATAGCGACTATGCCTCTGAGCTGAACTGGGATGAGTGCAGGAATCTAGAGCTGCTGACTCTACACCACCCAGCTCTTCATGAGGCAGGTAGGTCTCTCCCATTACAAGCAGGTAGCACAGCAGCAGCAGGAGATGCAGCCATGCTTCATTTCATTTCATTGTGTTTGTGTTCAGTGTAAACACATGTCTTATGAGGATAAATTCATATTTTTCATAAACATAACATGTTCATAGCCACAGTCATGAAAATATTTCAAATGGACCTGAAACAAATATTAAACTATTTAATTGAATTCAGTCTTACAGCTATAAATGTGATTTTGATGAAAATGTCCAAATGTCCAAGTTTCACGCACATGTTATTGTCTTCTGAGCTGCTCAGTCAGTAAAGCTCCTACAGGTGCTGGGCTGAGTTCTAGTCTTGAGAACTATTTTGTGGTTTGGACGTGTAATCATTTATAGGGCCGTCTGTAACTGGAACACATTCTGAACATGTCAGTTTTTCCAAAGTAGAGACTTGATGCCAACGTCCGGTAACATAACTTAAGTACCTCATACTGTAAAAGTTGTATAGATAGGGTACCCTTTTACAGGATCTCAGGTGCTCCTCTGATGTTATGTTCAAACAGTTAGGAATGAAAAATTCAGTGAATGACAGGTGTTGGAATAATAACTTCTAGATTGTAAATCCAGTTGGATGCGCACCTCTAATTAAGACTTGCCTGAAAAAGAAAAAAAGGATCTGCAGCCACACAGGATGTTCTTTCAAACATTGAACTCAACATTGTTGCGAATGTTTGTTAGGACAGGCTACTATGGGGGTCATTGATGACAGTGGGAACAGTGAAGCCAGTGATGGTGAAAACGGAGACAGCAGAGTGATTTGTAGCAGTCACGAGAGCAGATCCAGCTTCCCCAGCAGCAGCAGAGACATCAGCTACAGCAGCAGTGCTGAGCTCCTACAGTCATTGCCCTGATATTTTCAGTGTATATTCATATATTCCATTCAGTGTTATGTTCTCGTTATGTTCACAGAGCTCTACCACTCTGCAGAGACTGGCTGATGAGTTGTTCTGTTGTTTCAAGCCTCTGGGGCGCTACACGACTTTAAGTCTCCTTTACTAGCCTGGGCACCCAGTAATTATTCATTAATAAAGAGCTTCTGGGTTTATCATAGAAAATTGGTTCAGTCTGTTTTGACCTGAAGTAGAACAGGTGTTATTATGTCACCAGGCAAGGTGTAACAAATTATAACTTTACTATATTCGCTAAACCTTAACAGTCTTTGAAAATCATTCAGTATGGTTTCTTTAGTGTTTAGTCAGATAACACAGTATTTCTGTTTATTTTATTAAAAAGTGAGTGATGTAACTTAAGGTTATTTAAGTGTATATACCATAAGTTCCAAATAAAGCAGAACACTACCGATGATGTTCAGGAACTAAGTTAGTTAAAAGAGCAGCAAACGATTTTCTTCTTTGCCTTATGAAGCAACGGATCTTGGAATTTTATACCAATACGTCAGCGTGGGTGATATGGAGTGGCTGTACTGCCCTCCAGTGTTGTGGAGAGACAATCACCCTCTCTTGCAAACGTTACTCTTGTCTCTTTAAGCTACTGAGCTGAGGATAAAGACGTTATCTGTTATAACCTTCTCGTTATATCGTTCTTGTTTCAACTCTGTCTTTCATGAGGGCTTTTCAGCTGGAAAACGCGACGCCAGTATTCACCCTGGTTCTGGTCTTCCCTCTTTTTTTTCAACAGCCTAACGCCATTTACTGCTAACTTTCCCGCTGTTTTATGCATGTAAAGAGAGATAATTTTCCATGCCAATATTTTTCCATTCAGTATTCAGCAACACGCAACACACCTGACAGGTACTGTACTTGTATTAACTATGAGAAAGTGATTAGCATAACCTTAGCAGCTTGGAGCATGCAAATCTTTTTCTTCTACAGCGAGTTTGCGCACCTGCTGTCACATGATCTAAACATGACGTGACCCATGTGTGGACCGCCCCGTTATGATAAAATAGTTCATACAAGCTTATGAAGTAATTTAAGTCTTAGTGTCAGATGTATTTATGTTATGAAGAAAAGAAACTTTTATACAGAGCATTTTGCTTTTGTGGTCATCACTCATGGCTCCTTGATGTGAAAATTATTTTGTAATAAAAATCCACAGTGCAAAATAGTGATTTGCTGATTTATCTGATTTATTTAGGGGAAAAAATGACATAAGAAAATGAAGGCAACATGTATCAAAACTTTAAAACCTCAGAAAAACTCTGTGTATGAGCACATACAGAAGAGCACAGAATTATCTCAGATCACAGTAATAGATTCCACACAGTCCACATGTAGATTATAAGAAACTCAAGATACAGAATTTAACATCAGTCATTACTATTCCTGTGGGGAAATAATCTCAAATTATCAGTATAATAATCATACAATCATTATGACCTTGCAGATAACAAAAGAAAAGGCCCTGCATCCTTTTATTACAATATATGCAGAAAAAGTGCAACTGGAAAAAAGCAAAAATTGATTTAAAGTATTTTTGAAGTTTGACTTTATGTAAAAATTGTTTTTATTCATTTAAACCAAAATTTAATTTACATTGTTTCATTTAAAATATTATTTTCTAAGTATTAAAATAAGTATTTTTATAAATATAGTATTTGATTGTTTAAATATTTTTTGCCTTGCATTGTTTTATTCACAGCATTTATTTTAGTTGAAAAAACCCAGTTAAACGGCTTGTTACCATTTTTACAGTGTAGCATGATATTAGGTGAGTAATCTATGTATTATAATGGCTCTATAAACAGTTATAAGGGGCTGCTTGATTCTGAATGTCAACACTGAAAATGGAAAGCTATCATACAAATTAGTTACGGTGAAATAGCAATTTTCTGTTTCTGACTGATGATCACTGAACATTCAATTCTGACCAGAACATTTTAATCATTTACCCTCACAAATGCTCTAGCTTTATGACCCCAGATACAAACTGTTTTAATGAAGATAAAAATCTGGATAAAGAGATCAAAATAAGATCATAATTATTTTGATGAAATCACTTAATAAGATGAGATGTGATGTAAATGTTTCTAAGATTGAAAAACCAAAGAAAGTGTTAAAAATGCGTTATTTGTAACTGTAATTTGTTTATATAAATTATGGGCTGTTTAAACCACTTTATCTCATTTATGCTCCATAAAATATTTTGATTTGTGATCTATAATAAAATCATTTCTTGTGTTTGAAGAGGTTTGAATGTAGTTTTCTGAAGAAAGACACTGGCTGTGGTCTCTCAGTCACATGATTCATCTCTGTCTTAGGCTCCTCCTCCACGTCATCATAGTCTGGAAAATAAGTACATTTATCTCAAATAACACATCACCAGTGGGGAAAACTAATATAAAAAATTGACCAATATTATCATGTTTCACCATCCCCCCCACCCAACTATTCCCACCCAACTACCCGCCCACCCAACTATCCCCCCATCCAACTATCCCCACCCAACTACCCCGACCTATCATTGAGAGAAAACACTGAGACCTACTGAGATACTGTGTTTTTACTCAAAACTGCATAATTATATGGAGGGAAAATGCATCTTCTCTTCTCTTCTTATTCACATTAATTTTAAAGTCCCAGAACAACTTCACTGCCTTTTTTTGTTTATTTTTCTTTACTCATTTGTTAAAATCACTAACTTAAGTCTAGTAACTCTTACTATTTCTTGTGTAATGCCTTAGTTACTTAAGTAAGGCTAGTTAAGATCAATTTATTTGGTTAAGTTCGACAGACTAAAGAGTCTTTTGTCTAAAAAGCTTCCAAGCATTCTTAGTGGTTTTGTTAGTTTCAGTTAATGAACACTTATAATTAGAATTTTCATTTGTTCTCTTCACATAATGATGTTATTTTATGTTGCAGCATGTTCTCATGCTAAATGTTAAGTTTGGATGCATTTTACATGTTTTTGTTATTCTCACCATGATGGTGTTTTGTGCTGAGGTTGAGGCACTGAATTCAAACAATTTGACTGAGTAAAGCGATGTTATTTGGGGTAACGTGGATGATTAACCCCTTAAAATACCTTAAAAACCCCCCAGGCTTGTTACATATTGATGCTTATGATTCAATACCTACATAGACTTTAATGCAAACTGGTTGAGTTGTTCTGAGGTTATAGAAGTGTGTAATAAAACTTTGGGCCTGTCGGTGGTCCCTGGCCATGTAAGGGGTTAAAGTTAATCTAACTCGTTCGAGAGTAAGCAGAACTCAAAAGAGTAGAGTAATGATAGCTCAACTGAAACTATTTAAAATGATTAGGCTGTTTGAATTAACCTTACATGCTGAAGAAGTGTGGATCACTGACAATTACAAAGTAACTATAATTCAAATATACAGTGATTTGAGCTTGAACCTGCAAAGTAACTTAATTTTTTCAAGGCAATAAGTTTGAGTGTTACAGATAAACAGCTATAGAGATAAGCTAGCTTGTTAACGCAGTTATGTTTGCCAGGGTAGCTTCCATTTGATAGATAATAAACTTGTTACCACATGAAGTGAATTTTTTTGGTTGAACTGTCAAACCATTTTGTTTACAATGTAGCAGCGTAAACAACAAGAGTAGCCACTCACCTTTTGCTCCTTCTATATCCTGTTCAGCAGTGATGACACCATCATAGTTCTCTTGTGTGTCCACTACACCAACATGGGAAGATTAATTACAGCAGCAAGAAACAAACCTGAGTTGTGTTAAACAGTGTTGAAGCTGGAGTTTTAAATGATTTGTCTAAATTAAGTAAAACTTACTTGTCATAATGTAGGAGTTTGGTCCAGTGGTAACAGCATCATCATAGTTATCTGTCATGTCTTCTGTCAAAATGTGGAGATAAATGTCATTAAATCAGCCTCAGAATCATCAGTGACTGTGTTCATGTTTGAGATTACAGTATTGTTACATTACAAGTCAAACCTGTTACAACAGCTGAGCTCTGATCATCATAATTGTCTGCTACGTCCTCTGCACCAAAAGACAGAGACATTTAAAGGATATGAAATCATATTTTACACAGTTTGTTGTTCGGTTGTTTCAGGCATAATCAGTGAACAATACAATGATATTAGTCAATTATAATATTAGTAAAAAAGAATAAATTAATTTTGGTTAAGACTTTATGGGCATGATAAGCATATCAATGTTTTTGTGACAAAACCTTTTTTTGAGTCATTTTGGATCATTTCTATTGCTCCATTCATCGTGACATTTAAGCACATCATAAAGCACAGCAGCATTTTCAAATTTTGTACAAAAAAAAAGAAAATATAAGGTTTCGTTCTGACAGTGACAGTCTGTTGTAGGCACTGAAACAATAACATCTATTTGATTATTTTATTCACACAGAATTAAAATCTCTACATCTCTACTTAATTTCTACTTCTTTCTAAACTAAAACCTCAAAACAGAAACACACCTGCTACACTATCAGAGATCTGTCCAGCAGTGATGACATCATCATAATTCTCTGCTGTGTCCTCTTTTGCTGATTCATCTAAATCAAATAAAAGTAGACTGACTTTACAAACAGTGCAGTCATATTTTTACATTGTGGTTTAATGTTTAAAGATAAAATCAGTTGATTAATTAATAAAGGAACTCACTTATCAGGCCACTGGTGATGACATCATCATAATATTCTGCCTTCACTCCAGTCAGGGACTTTGCTGAAAAAGGGCAAATTTTATTACTTTGAAAAATAAGATAATTGTTTGAGAGGCTGAAAACTCAATAGCAAATATCTCACTGATCCTAAGATATGTGATGATCAAATCATAACCAACATCAGATAGGAAATATTAAATAATATTTTAAAAGGTGTTAGTAAGCTAGTAAGCATTAGTTGTAAGCATTAGTCAGACTATCCAACACATTACACAAAAGGAATCTTATGCATTGCACAGTTTACTTTCACTCATTCAGGGTTAGGGTTAGAGACAAAACATCTGCCCTACACTGTCCAAACTAACAAAGAACTGTAAAAATCTCTCAGTTGAACTGAAATGACCAGTATTGATATGTCTGTCTAGGGTTTCATTCAGCAGTGATTTGCTTATGGCTTTGGTATTTATTTATTTTTGTTACATGACCACAAACTTAAATTGTCCTGACTGCCATAACCTGCAATGTGCATCTCTGTAACAGATTCATACTGCAACATTTACTATAAACTGTAAACAATCATGCAGGAGTTCATATTTAAAGTAAAAAGTTAATAAGCCCCTTTAATGTAACAATTTCAGAACCTTTAATTTCAGTAGAGTCTTTTGTGAGCTACAGTCTGTGACTCCATTAAGATTATGTGGGAAATCATTTCTTTCAGACAATTTCTGATCTAGATGTGAATCAAATCTTTAATCAGAGGAACAAACTAAATTCACTATTAAAGAGAATTTCACTCTGAAACTGCAAAGACAGCAAATGTTACTAGAAAATCACATAAAACATAACCTGGATAGAGACTGACTGTGTGTACTATGCAGAGGTGGGTGAAGTAATCTAAACACATACTGAAGTAAAAGTGTTGTTAATTTGATGAAATAATGACCCAAGTAGTATGGCTGCCAGAAAATCGGACAGGGCAGGGGGAAAGAGGGTGGGTGTTATTGGGGCATCATCTACTTCAACAAAGAGAGAAGGTGTGCAGAGGGGAGAACTAAATTTGGGAAATGAGAAGCCCGTGAAAAAGAGCCTTTGTGTGATAATTTTCAACCAGAAGAGAATAAAAGGGGTGATGCGGTGTATGTCTGTGATGACTGGATCTGAACTGAATTGTGCTCTCTGCTAACCAGCGAAAAAGCACACTAATGAGTGCAGTTAACCATAGCAACTCAGCCGGAGGACGGAGAGGCTGCTGGGACTGACGGACGCTGGACCAGTGCTGTTAAAGTGGACATGCTGATACCATCCTGGTTGGAACTAAGTGGTTTTGTGCCTTTTTCTTTGGTTTATCTCCCATTGGAAAGCGCCATTTTGATGCCCATTCTGCCGGCTGACCTGTGAGTAACCTCTGACCGAGTGTGTTTTTTTCTCTCTGAGATCCAACGCGCGCCAACAGAGGGTAGCTCCCTCCTAAACTTTGAAACTTGGGGTTTTATAATGTCTTTTTCCAAACTAAGTGCCCTGTAAAACCATTGTTTAACCCTGTGGGGAAGGCTGTTGGTTAAATTTAAGCCAAAGTCCTCTAACTATCAAAATCGATTTCTAGTTTAAGTGAAAGACTAATTAATAATTCAAATACCAGATCAAAAGGAAATTAAAATTGTGCTTCACATATATATAAATTGTCCCAGCAAATTTTCATGTATTTATGCAGTTCATGGAAGGTTATAAGTGCATATCCAACACATGTATTAGGAGGTAATGCTCGTGTAGGTGTTAAACAGAATTGCTCTAATCACTAGAATGAGTTCCATAGCGTGCAGTGTATTCTCATATCCCATTTTTGGAAACTTTGAGTGTGATTGGGTGCTATGAGAGGAAGTAGAATAATAGTAAAGTATCTGTGCATGGGAGATTTGAGTAGCTTTAAGTGACTAGCTACATTTCTGAACCTCCAGGGAGATATCACCCTAGCAAATAAGCCAGTTGCATTTCTATATTTGCAGGACCCACCCTGTACCTCCCATACTACTAGTTCAGGGTTAAACGTTAAACACCTTTAGGCCCTTGTTGTTCAGTTAAGTACCTGGTGGGGGCGCTACATAAATGTTGATTGTAAGTAATATCAGCGTAGACAGTAGAGGGTGTTCTCACGATACGATACCATCATGATATTTTGGCCACAATATGATTCTACTGATATGTTTTGATTTGTAATATGCTAATTATTTTGGAATGATGTATTGTGATTTTTCACTTTTGCAAATTATACCTCCAAAAGAAAACCTTGTGTGCTATCTAATGAAATTTACACTTTGTTTATTTAATTTTAATTAAAATACTTTAAAGAGTAATTACACCCCACTATTTTCAGCTAACTCCACCCCTGGCTCAACTTTGAAAAATGCTCAAAAATGGGAGACTGTCATCGCCGCAGAACCAAGGTACGGCTGGATCTGATCCAACTCCTCCCACGTCGTGTTTTAATTGGTCTGAACTAGATCCGACACCACCTCGCCCCGCTATACTTGCCCGTCAGATTCAAGTAAAATGTAATCAAGTGCGAGTGTGAAAGTAAGTACATAACACACATTTTCTCTCTCCGTAAATGCTTAGAGTAACTAGCTTTGTTTGGTAACTTTACTTAATTGAAATCCTGATGCTTTGTTTGTACGAACAAGCTACTAGCTATTGTCTGATGGTAGTTAAAGTTGGATAATGTTAGAAGATGAGTGTTTAGCTAACACAACTGTCTTGCTAACTAGCTAGCTAGGTTGCCTCTCGGCTAGATAACGTGAAGTTGGCTAGATTAGTTGAGCTAGAGAACTAGTATAGGTGGAGACGGCACTTATGTCTCTTAAACAGTTGAAATGTCATGTTTCTCACAGATTTTAAAACCAGAGGCTAGGCAGATCTTATATTTTGACTCCAGAAATCCCATAGCCTTTGGACACCAAAGCTACCTTGCTGTTTTCAAGTTTAACTTTCACAGAAAAAAGATCTGGATTTCCTTTTTCTTTGGTTCTGCATTCATAATTTAATATATGTTCATAATTATGCATGTCTATATCCATGTTTGGAGTTTATATTCATGTTATGCATTGCTGTTACAAAAGTTCATGTTTCAGTCAGTTCTAGGTGTAATTATGAAATTGTGAAGTAACTGTTTTGTTGTTTAAGGTTAACATTGTAACATTATTGTTATCATTGTTCAGGCATTATTTAGACTCTTACACTACTGACTGTAACATGAGTGGGGTAGTTCTGGTTTAGACCCCATCACAGTTTGTTTTTTAAAGAAGAATTGTTCTGTTATTGGTGGTATTTAACAGTTTAACTGATTTTGAAACAGGGACGTTGCAAATGTGCTCTGTCCAGGCCAGTGGACAACACTGACCTTGGGAGACTTTGAGGTAAACTTCCTAGACCTTAATTACAGCTAGATTTTTTTCCTTTTTCAATGGAAAGATAGAATCGAGTTTTTATCTTTTGTGTGTAATTAACAGAATGCTCCGCTGCAGTGGGGAAGCATAGACTGTGGCCCTTTCTTGTTGATTGTAAGTGATCGTTTTTCTCATAAAGACCCTAAGAATAAGGCAGAAGTGGACATTAATACACTTGATAATACAGGAAATACACTTGATAAAACTCTATTAATAGAATTTTGTTTATTTTGTTTTTCAGTATGCCCTCTGTTTAGTGATGGGAATGTCATTTGACTTCACACAGGTAACTGTAATGTTCTTGCTAATTTCTCTGTTAGATGTTCTCTATTAGACTGTCTCTCTTTTCAGTTAAATATTCCACTAATCTGTTTTTGTCAACTTTAAACATTAGATTGACATGCCTGACATTAGAAGATGGTGGTGCCTACAGCTGCTGGAGACATTTCCTTTAGGAAGGTATGATAGACATTCCCTTCAGTACATAATCTGAATAGTCGTTTTTGCAACATTTTTTGTAGTTCTAGTCATAATTTCTTACCATTGTCATTATTGCATCACACATTATTTTTATGTAAAGTGCCAACTGCCACCATGGAGGACGTGCCACAGTCTACTCCAACACCAGCCCACCAGAGAGTTTTTAAGTAAGTATAAAAAGCATGTTTTATATAATATGTAATGCTACCATGTAGTATTAAACATTTAGCATGATCTTGCTGTGGGTAGTGTACACATAAACTGGCCTTGTCATTGCATGTTTTTATAGACATGCACTCCAGTTCTCTCTTGACCTTTCACTGTTTTATAGATGTATTTGATATATCTTACATTTTTACCAAAGGATGCTCCAATGATGAAGAACATTATGGCTGCAATGGAATGGATAAAGACCAATAGCCATTTATTCAAGGGAAAAGTTCTTCATCCAAAAATCCTAAACATGGAGCGAGAAGATGCCTTGTTGGCCCTTGCCATCTACCATTTGTTTCAAGATGACTGTACAGATCTGGTAGAGATATGGGAACCTTTTGTCTTCACATTTGAATTAAGAGATGACATGGAAGTTTTCATGTCTGAAGTAAGAGATAAGAGAAATATTCGTGCGTCAGCTGTGATTAACCCCAACTTATAATCTTAAGTAGAAGTTGGGCTGTTGAAAGGAGCCACAAAACTTTAACGGTGTTGAGCTGATCAAAGACAGTAAGTCATAATGCTGTAGTCTTTGTGAAAATTTGTACTGTTGAACTGAATGGTTGAAGTTTGGTGGTGTTCTGCATTTCTTTTCATAGTAGATGTTTATTTTATTCTTCTTAAATGACTTCATTTGTCTGCAATTTCTGCTATAATAAAATAAATGCTTAATGATCTGTAGTAGTTTCTTTAGATAAATAAGATTAGGACAGATAAAAAATAAGAATCTAGTTCTACACATAGTGGGTAAATCCAACTACAAAGCCACAAAGTGAGTAGGGGATGAAATAGAAGATATCTGAAGACATGAAAATCCAGCCATTAGCTTTCTTACCACATACATTCATCAGTAACTGAATCTACAAGGTGGACCAAGAAGGTAGGAGTGTCTAATAAGTGGACAATGAGTGGACACAGTGTTTAAAAACTCCAGCAGCACTGCTGTGTCTGATCCACACAGACCAGCGCAACACACATTAACACACCACCACCACGTCAGCGTCACTGCAGTGCTGAGAATGATCTACCACCCAAATAGTACCTGCTCTGTGGGTGTCCTGACCACTGAAGAACAGGGTAACAATGTAGAGACACAGATGGACTACAGTCTGTAATTGTAGAACTACAAAGTGCACCTATATGGTCAGTGGAGTTGATAAAATAGACAATGAGTGTAGATACAAGGTAGTCATTCTAAAGATTTTTTTATTATGAAATTCCAGGATTTAGTTGATAAAACACAGTTATGTGGGTTATTTTGACCTGTCATATGTGCGTTCTAGTGTTTAAAAACGTTCAGCGTTTTCAACTAGAACTGTGTTGTGGCATTCAGGACGGAGCAACATCGAGAAAAAAAACAAAAACACCAGCGGGTTTCCCAAAGAGAAATACGCGACAGGGTAGACCAATGAAATAATTCGTAGGCGGAAAACGTAAGCGAGACATACTAGCTTAAAGACCAATAGAAATGATTTTAGACCAATGAAAAGAAGACGTGGGCGTAGTTGGATCGGATCCGGCTCCACCCCTTTGGACTTGTGGTTCTGCAGTGAGTAATAGTTGAAAAATGGGAGGGGCACGCTGGGAGGGGCAGTGCAGTGATGTTCGGGTTTGGAGGTGGGGCTGTGAGGGAAACTGGGTGGGCTGGGCTGATGTGTTTTTAGAGCTAACGGAAAATATGGAGAGAGACTGAATCAAATGGCACTTTTCCAACTGAGAAGTCTTACAAGGTCAACAATTTTTCTTTACTACCATCCCCATCTTCGATGAGGGAAGGAGTTTCTGATCAGGCAATGCGTCCTGAGCCTTAACAGTATGAGCCACTGACTCAAGCCGCCGAAGAGTTAACGTAGTGCCAGAAAATGACTAGCAGCAAGTGGCAGAGGCGTCCGAACAGTAGAACATTCCCTAAAACCGTGACAGCTAGCTTCTAATTATCTGTTCAACAGGTCCATATTCGATATATCCTGAGTCCTGATTTCTTAGGTGCACTGAAACCCGAATGAATAAAGTGGATTTTTTTGAACAGTTTCATTCAGTTTGACATCAACGTCACAGAATGCATGATCGGTCAGCCAGGGTTTGCTGCAGTGGCTCTAAATCCTTATGTTCTGTGAGCTGTTCATAGCACTTACCCGTGTTACATCCGATTCAGTTCCCACTCAAATTCATATTACTCTTCATAAATCTAAGGAACACTGGAACTACAGAAAGCGAGAAAAAAAGTTTGAGAAATGCTATGCGATGGCCATTTAACGTTAATCTTTCCTGGACTGTTTCGTTTTCTGTAGTTCCAGTGTTGCTTGCCGTTGATTTCTGATGTTCAGTGAATGCGCATGCCCGACAGTTTGAGGTGAGAAGGGAAACGTGAATCAGATGCAACACCGTCAGCTTTATTGAGACTCGCAAGAATCCTCACTTAATCGGTCCAACATATTAATTCTAAACTAAGCTCAGATTCAATAAGTTATTTACAGTTGGTACAGACAGCTGACATATCGCTGTCTTGTGAGGTGGTGCTGGGGGGTGTTTAGCTCAGTGCGTGAGTGTGGTTATCTCCTCGGTCAAGGATCCTATGCTTTCATATTTATGAGTGCGGGACGAGTGGGGGAGGCAGTAACTTTGTTTGACTGATTTGCATACTGTGACGTTTCATGGTACTTTAGTATCAAGACATGTCATCTGCGCCTATAGCAGAGTTGAACCAGAGAGGCGCTGCAGAGGCGGAACTGACCACGATAAAAATGATATTTTTACAGTTTGGAAAGATATGTTCACATTTTAAGCAAGGCTGGTATATTTTATTATTACAGAGCAGTGCATTTCAGCTGTTAATGAAAAAAAGGTCTTAGGGTGTAGTTACTCTTTAAAGGGGCATTCTGGTATAAAACTATAATTTAATGTAAGTTTGATGTTAATATTATTTTTCATGTTTGTAATATTCTGCAGAGCAGTACTGCATTTCTCTGCCCCATCAGTCTGACAAATTTCATGATTTTGCATAATTTTTGTGGTTTCATCCATCACTACAATACCCAACATTCATTATGTAAATGCATCATACAACTTTTGGAGACCCTCACAGTGACAAAGAAATCCACTGATGTACCACTGATGTAAAAGCTAATAAAGGCAGACGTGATATTCAGTGTCATATCAGTACTGTTATCTCTCTGGCTTTCTTCTGCACTAGTCAGCTTGTGATGAGAAAACACATTTCAAACAGCTTATTCCCAAAAAAAAAACCCAAAAGCAGCTGCAGTTCTTTAAAAAAAACTCCTCCAGGCAGGTTTTCTTGTCTTTTTAAATGAAAAATCTCTCTCTATGCCAGAGTGGCTCTTTAAGACAAGACACACTCAGTGTTACTTACAACATTAATTATATTAGTGCAAAGAAGAAAAAGCACACTCTGTTCCCTTTTATACACTCCATTCTATTTTCGATGTACATACTTTTTACATTCATTCAAGTATACTTCTGTCTTCCAACTGCCACTTTTAACTGAGTAAGATTTTGACACGGTATACATATTTTAAGTTCTTTTTCTTTGTATTTTTTCCACCCTTCACCATGCATCATGCAAAAATATTAGTTCAACAATGGATAATAAAAGAGTGACCTAATGCGAAGGTGGACCCTAAATAAAAGGTCCACCTTCACATTATTTTTAAACCCATAACATCTTGATTTTAAAGTGTATTAATAGTTTCATGCCAGCGTTACAGAGAGTGAATTTACTGTAAACATTCTGTACCTAAAAACTTAACGAATTCTCTAATGTCTATGTGGTGATTATAATATTTCTCAGCTGAATGGAGTTTAAAACACAAATGTTCTGGTCCTCTTACCTGAGAGAAGCTCCACATCCACATTCTCATATCCTGAATGCTGTTCTTCAGAGAGGATACTTCCTGTTAGAGGAGAGCAGAAACACGTTCAGAATGCAGAACCACCCACAATCCTCTGAGTGCTGTGGATCATTGTGAACTGGATTGGTTACAGAAAATAATATCAGTGCAGACAGTAGAGGGCGCTCTCAGATACAACAAAACTCACTTGTTCACTCACTTATTCGGTCACAGCTCAGTCACTTATTTGGCCACTCTCACTCATTCAGAAACTCAATCACACACTTCATGTTCACTCACTCACTTACTCAATTCACTTGGCTACTTGGTCACTCCCCTCATTTAGTCACTCATTTACTCAATCACTCACTCTCCTCACTTAGTCGGCCATTTGATCACTCAGGTGGTCACTTACTCAGACACTCATTCACTCTCTTGGTCACTAACTCACTCAGTCACTAATTCATTTACTCACTTGATCACTCATTCACTCAATCTCTTGGTCACTCTGACACTCAGTCACTTACTTTGTCATCCAATCAGCTATTAACTCATTCACTCACTCAGTAATTCATTTAATCACTAGATCACTCAATTGGTTACTCAGTCAGACACACAGTGTACACTCACTCATGTAGTCACAAACTCAGTCACTCAGTGGGTCATTCAGTCACTCAGTCAATCATATAGTCACTTACTCACTTGGTCACTTACTTGGTTACTTTGTCACTGACTTGGTTACTCAATCACTTATTCAGGCCCTCACTTAGTCACTTACTCATCATAATAGGTCAGTCAGTCAGCCATTCTTTCACTCCGTCACTTCATCACTCACTATGTCAATTGATCACTCACACAATCACGTACTCACACACTCCCTAACTTTGTCATTCATTTGGACACTTGGTCACTCACTTGACCACTCAGTCACTAACTCACTCAGAAACGTATTCACTAACTCAATCATTTACTCTTGGCTACTGAGTAGGTCAAATACTCATTCACTAGATCACTTCACTATAATCAGTTACTCACTTTGACACTAGGTCACTCAATTACTCATTCACCTCAATTAGTCACTACACTCAGTCACTCATTCACTTTAATTTGATCACTTACTCAGTTACTTGGACACTCAGTTACTTACTTTTGCACTCAGTCAGCTACTAACTGACTCTGTCATTCATTCAGTGACTAGATCACTCAATCTGTCATTCAATAGGTCATCTTGGCCACTAACTAGATCACTTACTTTGTTACTCAGTCATTCTAACATGATCACTAACTTGTGGACTCACCCCAATCACTTAGTTACTCTGACACTTACTCACTTGGTGATTCACTCAGTCACTCCATCTCACACACACACACACACACACAAACATTACCCCCTGCTCTCTCCTTTCCCTCTTCCTCTCTCTCTCTACTTTCCCCCTCTATCTCTATCGCCCTTCCTCTCCCCCTCACTCTCTCTCTGTGTGGTTTCTCTGTATGTACAAAAATGGAAGTTTTACAGGAATTACTCAGTTTAACTTCAGTTGCTTAATAGATGCTTATCAGCAGAATTAACACACTACACTACATGTAGATCTACTGTAACTGCATATTACATCTAATATACACTAAACTCTCATTTAACTGATTTACTTTCATTAATACACTGAGAAATTTATATTAAAGACACAATTCATTTGAGAATATTAAATATTGCTTTATTGACTGGGCAAGACAGCATGCATTGCAGTATAATTTATAATCTCAAATGTAAGTATATTTGAATTGAATACAATAGTCCTCATGTAAAACATGCCATATATCACTCACCTCTTCGAGTTGAGTCATTTCTTTTAGTGATGTATCTGCGGTCGATCTCCTCATAGACTGCCTCAGTCAGAGCCTTACGCCTCCTCTTAGAGAGCACTATGAGGGAGACATGAAACCAGTTCAGTGGAAGAGAAGACTGATGATGGATAGAAGGACTAATGATGTTTAGAGAATGTACAGAAAGTGGATTGTAGATGATCTCTGAATCTCTCTACCTCTCCTGAGCACTCTGTTCTGGTAAAACAGCACAACCAGAAGCACTAAGGCCAGGAAAAGCAATGCTCCCAGAACCAGGAGAGACACTGGATAGATGGATGGAACAGCAGTTGGAAGAGTTTGTGGAGGAGTAATTGTTTTCTTTTCTGTCTGAACAACTGCAAATAAAAACACAGAATATAAACTCTGTAGATCACTGAACAGTCTATTCAGAAACAATTAGAAAAATGACCAAAGAGACAAAATAGTACCTGGAGTAGTGGAGGTGGTAACTGTTGTTATGGGTGTATTAGTAGAAGATACAGATGTGTCTGTAAGTACAGAAATACACACAATAAAAAAAAAAGTCACATTTACTAGAAATTCCATATCAGACTTTGTACAATGTAAGGACTGCATATGACAGACATTATATAACACTAAGAAAGGTGCATCAGTGCAGTCTTTCACAGCAGCCTTGTATATGTTTTAATACACAGGTAAAATTGTTTTGATTGGTATCATAAACTTCAAAATCCAGCAGGCTCCTCTGACCTTCACAGGTGACTCCAGCGTCTTGACTGTGGGAGCAGTCAGTGTGGTTCTTCAGGGAATGAGGACAGTCCCACAGGTGAATCTCATTCCCTCTACACTTCACTCTGTTCAGCCAGATAGGCCCTTCACCAGCACCAAAGACAGCACTCGCATCAGCACTCAGCGCCGGCCCACAACCCAGCTGCCTGCACACAACCTGAGCATCCCTGATGTCCCACAGATCATCACAAACGGACCCCCATTCAGCGTTGTGATACACCTCCAGCCTCCCAAAGCAGCTTCCATACCCTCCCCTCAGCCTGAGAGGCAGGTGATCTACATCACACACATCACACATGAGGAGATACATAATTTTATTTGCCAGAGTTTTAAATTTGTGCTCAAATAGTTCACGTGTGGTTAAAGATGCACATTCTCAGATTTTAATAAATCATGTTTTATGCATTTAAAATTTTACTTGAAACATAGTGCCCCCCACCTAACTCTTCCTTGGCCTACCAGTCTCTTTATGGTTTCTTAGCATACCAGTTCTCTCTCTTCTTGATCTCGGGCCTTCCTGTTGACAACCAGCTAAAGCTAAAGACTCCAAAGGTGACCAAAAGCCTAGAATCAAGACTAGATGCAGAAAACTCTCTTATGTCTGTATTAATGAAGCAGTTAATCACAAACACCTGTGAAGCCCTATGTCTTAAATATTATGGTGGGCACTGTACCCCCACTAAAGTGAAGTTTTTTGTATTACGTTGCAATTCTGATTCTGATTTTTTACAATTTAAAAACTGAATATGACGAGCTAACATTAGATAACATTAACAAAAATGATTAAAATCACCTTACAGATAAATAACATGATGAAATTAGTGTGTTTTATGTTGTGTATTGTATTTTCATACTAATCAGAAGCTACAAAATCCTCCCGTCAGCCTGAGAGGCAGATGATCTGAATTAGACACATCACACATGAGGTTACTGAGATGAATCAATTGAATCATTGAACTAAACAATCTAAGCTATGTAGTGGAACTCAGAGTAAAGTAAAACATACTGACTCCAAAGCCTTAAATAATCGTGCAAAAACGATAATTCCTCACTTTTGAATAATGCTCTAGTTAATCAAACATTTACTAAATCTGTTAGTAAGTGTACTTACTTGAACATTGTCTGTGATGGGATGATAAGCACTTCAAATGGCTTTGTAACACACGATGACTTTCCTCTTCTTCTAGTATGAAAAAGTAATTAATTAATCACTGGGCTATTATACATGAAACTGCTTATGTATAGGGGAAAGTCCTCAATAAACCCATCTAAATCTAAGCCTTTCATGTGGATTTTTTTAGTTTTTAGTTATATACCTAAAATATATCTTTTAACATAATCAGACAGATTTTGAATGGTCTATTTTTAAAAATAATAAAATAACGAAGAGAAAAAGTCTAGACAGCCCTTATGGGACCGTTAAACCTTTTTCTGGGAAAACAAATAATACCAATAATTAAAATACATATAACCAACAGAAACACTCTTTTAAGAAGTGAATTTTGTAAGAAGAAATTTTGACTACAACTATGTGGACTATGTGGATATTATTTATGCAACCATGCAGCTAGTGAATCTCCTTATAAGTTTAATGATTGTTCAATTTTACTCAATGTCTTTTTTCATGTACATTAGGCATATAGCGTATTGAGTACTGCAGAGAAAAGCAGATCCAACATGAAAACAATGTAAAAAATACTCTTCTTTTTGAAAATTGTAATGATAACTCTGCAAATGGTATTTTATTTACAGCACAAATGGATGTAGGCCTACATCATTTTTATTACACCTAAAAAGTGTAATAAATTACAGACATGATAATTCTACTTCAGGACAAAAAAAGATTAATTTTAATCTTGAGTGGAAGTCTAACGTCTATGAGAAACACACCCTCTGTTTCTTCTAGACAATAGACTTCCATTCAAAATCTACTGACAAATAGAAATTAGTTATTGGGCATATTGGGGCCCAGAGCGTCAAGTAGGCATTTAAGCATTTTTTGTATTTACACAGACATCATTAATCAATATACTTAGAAATATTGTTGATTACCTACATTAAAAACAACATAATACAAATTTGCATTTACAAATTCAGTAATTAACCTTTTTATGTCGAAGTTGAATGAGCATGTCTGTAAGGTTTGGCCATGACAGCACTCTTTAAGGCCATCTATATAATTAGTAATATTAAAGACTTAAACAGTGATGGTGTGTATATAAAGATTCAATATATGTAGAACTGGAATGCTTGGTAAAGCAAAATGTTTTTTTCAGCATTAAGTAAAAGCCTAAACTGTCCCAATTACCATCGCTATTTGACTTCTGACTTTAGCTGCTGTATCAGAAGCTGTCTTTTAAAATGGGAAGCAACAGGTAAATCAGCATCATTGTCATATAGATAATTTGTTTATTCAAAACAGTCTATATTTAAATAAAGATAATTACATATCTTTTTACATACATAAATATTATTAACATTTACATTGTTTGTGACACAGGACCACAAAACAAAGACTTTGAAAGCAAAGTCTTCATAAAGGACATAAATATCTAAAACTAAAATAATGATAACATAAAACTCACAGTAATAGACACAGAAGACATGTGTTAAGTGAATGAGATTCCCAGTATTTTAACTACTCCAATTTTTACATTATTTCACAACAAGAGTGCTAGTCGGTTTACACGGTTTTTCTTCTATTTTCCTTGAGCATTTAGCACTGTAAGCTCTGTAGCCATTTTATCCTGTTTTCACATTCCTCAGCTGATGTAATGTAGGCCCAAAGAGAAAACAACAGAAACATTTTACACCCTCCACTCATATTAATACACAAACCCACTACAAGCTGCCTACCTGAGCAGGTGATGTGAGCCACCTCGTTGTGCTTATCACAGTTGTTCTGTCTCCAGGGTGAAGATGGACAGTGCCACAGAGTGGAGTCATGTCTCCTACATTTCAGATCATCCAGCCAGTTAGGAGCTGATTCCACTCTCGCTCCTGCAGGACTCTCACTGCCAGTTCTTCCACAGTTCAGCTCTCGACAGATCAAATTTACTGTTTCTTGATCCATCTCATTTACACACACATTACCCCAGGTTGCATTGTAGAACACTTCCAGATTCCCCTTACAGCCCTCAGTGAGTCTGAACTCCTTAAACTCTGGTGGAAGAAAGCCTTGTACTGAGTCTCATCTTCAGCTTTTTTTTTATTTTTTATTAATATATTTATTAATTTATATATTCTTTTAAATATAATTCCTAAATTCATTAAATCTTCAATATCTAGTATTTCCTGAAGAAATTACTTGAAACATAATGCTAATGTTAACTTCCTTAATATCACTTTACCTGAGCACACAACCCCTACATCGTTCTTGTGTCCACATTCATCCTCTTCACACAGCTGAAATCCGCAGTTCCACAGGGACGTCTCGTTCCCCTCACATTCCACCTCATTCAGCCATATGGGTCCAGTTCCAGGTCCAAACTGGGCTGGTACTGGAGCACTGAGGGCCACACCACACTGAAGCTGTCTGCACACCACCTGCGCATCCTTAATATCCCACAAGTCATCACTCACTGTCCCCCATGAACCGCTGTGGAAAACCTCCAGCCTTCCTGCACAGTCTCCCCCAGAACCAACCAGCCTGATGGAGCTGTGAGCTGAATTAAACTTACCTACACACCACACAGACAAATAGAGAAACACACAGACATATAAAAGTACTTGCACAGTAATTTGCCTTATATTACTCAGATAAGCACAACCCTGTTTCCAAAAAAGTGTAATGTAAATAAAAACATAGTGCAATGATGTGCAAATAATTTAAACACACACAGTTTTTAAGCTGCTTATCCTTCTGGGTTGCAGGAGCCTATCCCAGTGGTCAATGGGTGGGAGGCAGTAAACACCCTGGACAGGTTGCCAATCAATTGCAGGGCAGACAGGCAGACAGACATATACATTCACATACACCTAGGGGCAATTTAGTGTGTCCAGTTGGCTTGAATGCATGTCTTTGGACTGTGGGAGGAAACCCATGCATGCGGGGAGAACATACAAACTCCACTCCATTTAATTAAAAATAGGTACACAGACAACATATCAAATGGTGAAACTGAGAAATGTTATTGTTTTTGAAAAATATATGACCATTTTGAATTTGATGTCAGCAACACATTTAAAAGAAGCTGAGACAGGAAGAACAAAAGATAAAAGGTTACAACGTTAAAGTTATATAAAGCCAAACTGGTGGAACATCTCATAACTAAGTAGTTTAACTGGCAACAGGCCAGTAACATGACTAGGTATAAAAAGAGCATCACAGGGAGAGAGTCTTTCCGAAGTTAAGGTGAGTTGGGATTACCACTCTATGAAAGACTCTGCAGACAAATTTAATTTGCAACAATTTAAGTATAAAGTTTCTCAACATAAAATAGCAAAAAACTTGGGGATTTTAGCATCTCTGTTTTTGAGCAACACAATGCCAACTCACATTCTGCACATATTACAACAGCATGGCTCTGTAGCAAAAGAGTCCAGGTGCTATTAGCAAAAGAATCCTGTCACCTATTAAAAACATTCAGTGCATTATGTAAAGAAAAATACGACAAAGACCCCAAACTGGTGAGCAGCTGAATCAAGCAAGAATAGGAAACATTAGACTTTCTAAACTACAGCAATTTGTCTCCTCCGTTCCCATACACTTCAGATTGGATCTGATTGTTAGTCATTTGATATTTATCTGATGTAATTCCTACCAGAGCAGGTGATTGAGAGCTGTTCTCTGGAGCTGCAGTTGACTGCATGTGCACTACTGCAGTTCCCCAGATGAGCTTCACTCCCAGAACAATTGAAACCTGTCACACACATGTGACTGTGATCAGGATTGGATGTAGAAGAGCTGGAGAAGTTGATCACAGAGCCACAACCCAGCTGTCTGCAGAGCACAGAGGCCTCAGACTCACTCCAGGAGTCCAGCAGAACTCTCCTCCAGTCCTGCTTGAGGTACACCTCCACCTCCCCCTCACACTCCATCCCTCCAGACAACCGCACTCGCCCCTCATGAAACGCCAGAGAGGAACCTGAAGAGGAAAACCCATTGAAATATTTTGTATTTGACTGTGGGGGCTCCATGCAATCATTTACTAACATGCTGCATATTAGTCTAAGATGACATAATGAGAACTCACCACTGCAGATGACTCCAGCATCCTGTTTATGAGAGCATGCAGTTCGACTCCATGATGAAACAGGACATTTTGACAGGTGTGTTTCGTTCCCCTGACAATCAAACACATCAGCCCAGATCTGGCCACTCCCCTCCCCAAACCAGTCTGACCCCAACACAGCAACAGCACTCCCACACTTCAGCTGACCACAGATGACACTGGCAGCTCTCATATCCCAGCTTACATCACACACTGTGCCCCACTCACTGAGGTACTGGAGCTCCACTTGACCAGAACAGGAGTCAGAGCCGTTCACCAGCTGAGCCTGAGTGTGACCTGTGTGTAAATGAACATCACATTACAGGAATCAGTACAGATAAGTTCAACTCGCTGCTCATTTAATTTGCTGAGCAGTGGCATGTTTTAATGTAAATGTTCTCTTTTTAACAGGAATTCTTTCTTTACCAGAACACACTAGACCCACATCACTGTCATGGGAGCAGTTGGATTTGAGTGAAGATGATTTTGGGCAGAAGTAAATCTCAGATTCGTTGCCTCTACAATTAAGCACCTCTGACCACACCTGACCCTCCCCTCTGCCAAAAGCAGCTGCTCCCAGCACCTCCACAGGAAGCCCACAGCCCAGCTCTCGACACACAACCTCTGCATCCTGCTGGTCAAAGTCAGCATCACACACTGTGGACCAGGTCTCTCCATGTAGCACCTCCACTCTCCCAGAGCACAGATGAGGACCATCAGTAAGTCTTGAGATGCGACCTGTAAAATTGTAATATCTTAACAAAAACTTGCCACTTGACAAAATGTGTGATGAATGTAATACATTTAAAATGTGACTCTTTTTCATTTAAAGAGTTGTAATGTATTTCAGTGTAGCACTAGCATTGTGGTTTACCATGGCCCATTGTGTTTCAACCCCTATATAGGGCTGGGCGATAAAACGATAACGATAATTATCGCGATATAACTTTTCCTCGATAGAGCGATACGACATGTTCGATAAATGTTTAATATAATACACCATTCGCACACTTCCACATTCTAGCGAAAGCCTTCGTGGCGTTTTCTACTGCAAGGAAAGCGACACTACTCTGCTGTCGCCAGAAGAGGGCGCACTTCCAAGTTTTTCGACATGATTAGAGAGGGAGAGGGCCACGAGTAAGATGAGTCTTTAGCAACGGCTGAAACGCGGAGTTGTACATTCACAATCCTCAGAACTACAGCGCTGTTGCAGCGCTCGGAAAGTCATAATTTCTATTGCATTTATATGCATTCCCAAGCAATGAACGTGAAAGAAAGAAGTGAGTTCATGTAAATTACAGCCCTGATTTATACGAAAGTAAACTGAGGAAGCTGTGAGGCATTGGAGAGCGGGAGAGCGCTATCTGTCCAGGCTAGCTGTTTTTAGCAGCTGGCTAACTTGAAGCAGCGCACTGTCACTCACACAACACGGAGAATTGATGATACTGTAGATCAAACACGACACAAAAGCACCGCTTTCAGTTTAAACGTACCTAAAAGGAGGACTCTGTTTGTCTGGTGTTAGATATTTTGCGGTTCACCCCTTAAACTACTACGATAGTATAGAGAAATCCAGTCGTCGCTAGCTGGTATCCGAATACAGTGATGTCATTTGTAACGGGGTAGCCGAGCGCTCGGCACCAGCTAAAAATGATCTGTTTTCTTTCTTAAATTATGACTATTACAAAAATAGCCATGCTTTTCCAGCTGGTAAAAACAGCTCACCAGACACTTTCTCCCACTCTCCCATGAAAGATTTGTGAAATGTTCCACTGTTTGGCGAGTGTTCGTCATGTTCTGAACATAAAGGATAGTTTAAAACACGATATCGATATCGAACGATATGAATTTTGTTTATCGTGATAACATTTTTGGCCATATCGCCCAGCTCTACCCCTAGATGGATGCAAATAGAAGCAAGTTCTTTCACTTAATTAGCAGGCTAGGGCTACACAGCTAATTAGATCACTGAGGATAGCATTATACTATTTAGGTAAGAAATTATGTTAAATTTTCATTCTCCTGCCCATACTCACACAGTTCCAAACATACTTAGTGTGCGAATGGCCAAGGAACTATGGGTATTTTGTGCTTCCCACACTTTTAAGTTGTGAGGGAAGACTGAGAAGGGCATTTTCCATTCACAGTTTTTGTTGGTCTTCCCAGGCTAGTCTTTGACAACAGAACCACTGCTGGTAGGATATTCTGAATAGCAGACTATGCTCACCTAAGTAGTGACACTGAGGTGAATAAATATTTTTTGTTCAATTATTTAAATATCCCAGGAATGCAGCTATGCTTGTTACACTCAGCCCCTTGAAGAACCACCAGTGAATCTGAACCAAGTTAATTACAACCAAATTTATCATAATAATTATAATCATATAGTAATTATAATAATGCTAAAATAGCCTATTATTCGTGGATGAATAGACAGACTCCAACTTTCCTGAGCAGATGACTCCAGCATCCCAACTGTGATCACAGTAATGTTTACCCCATCCTACTGATCTACAGTGCTTTAGTGTAGACTCTGATCCAAAACAGTCCACATTATCCATCCAGATTGGTCCTGATCCTTGTCCAAAATGAGCTCCTCCCAGTGCATCTACAGCATCTCCACAGCCCAGCTCTCTACACACCACTGCAGCATCTCTCTTATCCCAGTTAAAACCACACACTGTTCCCCACTCGTCTCTATGAAGAACCTCCACTCTCCCAGCACAGCGACTGCCACCATCCACCAACCTCACACTGTCTGTACAACAGAGAGAGAAAAAGAATGAGATAGAAAGTACATCTAAAATTATTTTTAACTTTTAAAACAGAGTAAATTGGATAATTAATGTATAAATGTATGACAGCAGGAAATATGAAACTCTTACCAGCACACATCAGTCCCACATCACTGTCATGGGAGCAGTTGTGTTTGAGTGAAGATGATGTTGGACAGAAGTAAATCTGAGATTCGTTGCCTCTACACTGAAGCTCCTCTGACCACACCTGACCCTCCCCTCTGCCAAAAGCAGCTGCTCCCAGCACCTCCACAGGAAGCCCACAGCCCAGCTCTCGACACACAACCTCTGCATCCTGCTGGTCAAAGTCAGCATCACACACTGTGGACCAGGTCTCTCCATGAAGCACCTCCACCCTCCCAGAGCAGCGAGAACCAAAAAACAGCCTGGTTTCTAAAATAAAGACAACAATTAATATCATGTTTATACATGTTTTTTGTTAAAGTCATAGATAATACTGTAAAATAATAATAAAAGTGTGCATGATACTAATTTTGACTTATATTAAACACCCACCAAAGTCTGAATGAGAAAATAAAGATTAAACCATAATAAAACTTAAAAGAAAAAAAAAAAAACAGCTCTATCCATTGATCATGCACATTTCTGGTAGTGGTCTATGATACTAATGAACATGCTTCACTGACAGTTAATAATGTTAAGATTTTTCAAATCTAAATCATAAACATGTTGAATGTGATGTTTGATCTACTGTCTGTCGCAACCCATAAGCATCAGATAAATGTAAATCTAAATGTTAATGCACTCTTACACTTCTTACAGCTGTATCAACTTCCTTATTTTCATTTGTTGCTGAGACACGTTATAAATATAGAGCTGTATAAATCATACACTTAAATAATCAGCACTGTGCTTAAATGTCTGAAGACTAAAATAATAAAAAAAAAAAATTATGACAATCGGTTGGGTAATAAAGTTATGGCTGATTTAATCATGAGAACTCATCTCAGTACACGTGTATTTGATTTTAAGTGGATCTTGACCCCTTCAACAAGGTGGATACACAGACGTAGAGAACAACAGACAACGCAGTATCTAAACCCCTTTTGGTGTCCCATTTAGGAATGTCTCTTGATATTTTTTTCTGTTTATTGTCTCCTCAATAAACAGAAAATAAAATATTCACCCATGACTAAATAAGCCGCCTTTCCAGTGCATGGTACCAGCTCGACTCGACTCTACTCATCCTGGTTTTCTATTAGGCAAACCTGGTACTCGCTTGCATCGCCTTTGAGCAACCAGAATTGTCTCATCGTCTGAACTCTGATGTAGTATTTGCCAAACCCTCCATTTTTTTTATTTATTTAATTTTTAGCAGTCTTTTGTCTTGCTCATAACAGCCTCTTTTGAACAAAATTTGTCTCCTTCATGTAACGGCAGTTTCATGCACTGTTACTATGACAACCAGCTACATTGAGAGGATACTATATCTGCAGAGGAAAACTAACAAGCTGGTACCATGCAGTGGAAAAGGGGCTACAGTGAATATGAATTTTGGCACTGGACACTGACAGCTCAATTATGAATGGAACATGGACAGCATCTCTGGCATCAAAAACATTGACTGAGCAGCTCACACGTTATGTTGCTTAGTTTTTTTTTTGTTTGTTTTTTTTTGTTTTTTTTTCCGGAAGGAATATTCCAGTCATTTCATGAACTTTTATATTTGGCTTACAGCAGTGTGTCAGTCAGACATTTCAAGCATAGCAATGTTTAATGTAATAATTCACTTTTTAAGTAGCCTTTCTTCGTTTATTTAGCACTGCTAGCATAATGCTAATTTCTGTTAGTACAACTAAAAGTTTTCCAATGTTGTGTTAGCATCATGCTAACGGCCATACACATATGCATTTCGTGGTAGCTGTAGCTAAAACATGGTCAGTTGATGACTGAATACCCTTCTGAAAATAGACCATTAGAACCTTTACAGTTAAAACCTGATGTTTTTGCTTTCTAATGGGAATTGACTTAATGGTTACAATTACAGACCACTAGTTTCCTGTAGGACACTTTTTACATCACATTAGGATACCATCAAATACATCTGAAATCAGTCCCAGAACACCTGATAAACCATTAGAGTCCTTTACACTGTGACATCAACCCATCAGGACAACGCAAAATACCATTACTGACTGTTGAACACCACCAGAAACCAATAGAAACTTTTAATGGTTCTATGATTTTTTCCAGCAGGGTAGACATTCAGAAAAAAAAATATTTTTCCTTTGTATGTTGCAGTTTTACAGTGACTTTTTCCATAAAGATTTAAACTTTAATCCTATTTTAATCCTATTTCCTAAATGCAACCTGTGCAAATAAAATGTAACTTCGGAAACACAGCGTGTTTATTTATTGTTCTGCTAAGTAGCAGCAAACATCAATGTTAAGCATATTGAGAAATCAGAGACATAAATGCAACTGGTTAGCTAGCTAACAGGTTGCTATGAATTATGAGTTAGTAGCAAACAGTCGTAATGACCATTAAGTGTATTTCTGGAACAAATCTCTTTACTGTTGGTCAATTTTTCATTAATAAGTTTGGAAAATTTAAATTTTTTCGAAGGCATGTGAGATAGCATATAGCATTTTAAAGCTTTCTGGGAGTCGAGCCGGAGATGTGATGCTACTTCTAGTCAGAGAGCATAGTGAATATACAGCCAATATAAAATATATACTGATCATAGTCAGTGCTCACTAGTTTATTTGTTTTTACAGGAATGAATTTCAGGGAATCAAAGTTCCTGCACACTGGTGCAATTCTGACAATTCTAACATCCTATATAATGGTTGATTCTCTGTGCGGTACCCTTAATACTGAAATATAAGGTGCTTTATAACACACACCCAAACATAGGGTATGAGACTAATAAGGTAGTAGTAAGTATGTAGTTTTCAAAAAACAGCAATGCTGCTATGCTTAATGAAATTTCAATAGCACAATACACACTACCATGCCACTACTATGCATCAATTAGAATGATTCTCCCACCAAGCAATATCAAGTCGTTGAAGGTCAGTGGTCCATTTCCACTGATGGAAGAGGCAAAGGGTGGCTGACAAATTGTACATAGCAACAAATGAGATACAGTCAGTAATTATATTCCAAACATGTTTACATACATTTAAGTTGTATCTGATTAAATCGTTGTCGACACCAACATACCTGAACAGATGACTCCAGCATCTTTAGAATGATTGCAGTTATTTTCACCCCATCCTGGTAATCTACAGTGTTTTAGTGTAGATTCTGGTCCACCACAGTACACATAATTCATCCAGATTGGTCCTGATCCTGGTCCAAAGTGAGCATCACTCAGTGCATCTACAGCATCTCCACAGCCCAGCTCTCTACACACCACTGCAGCATCAATCATATCCCAATATTCACTACACACAGTCCCCCACTGTCCTCTGTGAAGAACCTCCACTCTCCCAGTACAGCGACTACCACCATCCACCAGCCTCACACTAACTGTACAATGGAAGGGGAGGAATGATGGATACATAAATAGAAACAAAATCAGAGTGAAAATATGTTAATCATCATATATAGCACATCAGACTAATCAGTGCTTGTAGCTCTTACCATCACACACCAGTCCCACATCACTGTCATGGGAGCAGTTGTGTTTGAGTGAAGATGATGTTGGACAGAAGTGAATCTGAGACTCGTTGCCTCTACACTGAAGCGCCTCTGACCACACCTGACCCTCCCCTCTGCCAAAAGCAGCTGCTCCCAGCACTTCCACAGGAAGCCCACAGCCCAGCTCTTGACACACAACCTCTGCATCCTGCTGGTCAAAGTCAGCATCACACACTGTGGACCAGGTCTCTCCATGAAGCACCTCCACCCTCCCAGAGCAGCGAGAACCACCAACTAGCCTGACTCCTGTTATATTACCATGAGAGAACAAAAATTATGCATGACACAAGTTATGCATGAGCAAAACTTAAAAATGTGTCTGTTTTATGACCTTTCAGATTTTTAAATTGGTGTTCCTTTAACAACTCTCAAAATCTAACTTATCTATGTATAAACAGTGAACTAAGGCCCAATCCCATTTCACCCCTCGCCCCTACCACTTAGCCCTTAGCCCTCTGTTTTGCGCGTTCACGTCTAGAGTAAGAGTGTCCCAGTTCTTGTTGAGATAGAGGGGTAGGGCGAAGTGTTAGGGCTACATGACCCTCAAACGGAGGTTTTTCAGAGGCACACTCCAAACCGAGTGTTATGAAAAAAAAGAATAATCGGCAAGATGGCTGCGCGAGCGACCAAAGAAACCCACAAATGTGAGAATTTTCTCCGTTAAAAAATTACGATAACTATTGTATTTTCTTAGTTTAATGTCGTTTCAATGTATTATGGTCGTTTTCTTCATAACAAGCACAAAAAAATCGATAATAGCATGCTAATTTCTCAGTAGCTAGTTAACTTTCCCATTCCACCTTAAATAGTCAAGCAGTGTTGACGCCAGGAGCGCCAGAATGTAACTGCTGCACCATTTAAGGTGGAACGGGAAAATTCGAACAAGAAGCTAGCGAATAGATGACTTCAGCTTCGTATCAACAAATAATTGGAGTGGGTGATAATAAATTATTGTCTTATACTCCCTCTTTGAAAGCATTTGATGCCCTAAATGTAACTAAAGCCCAGCAGTGAGGTCGCTGAACTTCCCCCTTCTCTGCTATCACTGAAGACGCGCTGGGTCGCCTGCAGAGCAGCGCTAGTGGCTGTTAATGAAGCGATGTTTGTTTGTTGTTTTAATTTGAGGGTTGTCCCATTTCGCAGGGCAGGTTTTTAACCACTACCCCTTGTAACTCAGTTCCAAGGGGTTCGGGGTAAAAAGAAGAAATGGGATTGGGCCTAAATTTGGTTAGATTTTTTTGGTTTGATTCCTGGCCGGGCGACCAGGGTCCGTTCTGTGTGGAGTTTGCATGTTCTTCCTGAGTCTGCGTGGGTACTCTGGTTTCCTCCCACAGTCCAAAGACATGCAGTCAGGCCAATTCGATGCACTAAATTGCCCCTAGGTGTGAATGTGTTTGTGAGTGTATATGTTTGTGTGTCTGCCCTGTGATGGACTGGTGACCTGTCCAGGGTGTTTCCTGCCTTCCGCCCAATAACTGCTAGGATAGACCTCAGCTCCCCACACAACCCAGAAGCATAAGCTGTGTATGTGTGTGTGTGTGTGTGTTGTGTGTACTTAAATGCTACTACCTGGAGCATCATAAACAGAATTTCCAGAGCAGATGACTCCAACATCTTTAGAATGATCACAGCTAGAATGATTACCCCATCCTGCTGAACTACAGTTCTTCAGTGCAGACTCTGATCCACTACAGCCCACATTATTCATCCAGATTGGTCCTGATCCTGATCCTGGTCCAATGTCAGAAAAATACAGTGCATCTACAGCGTCTCCACAGCCCAGCTCTCTACACACCACTGCAGCATCTCTCATACCCCAGCCATGACCACACACAGTTCCCCACTGATCATCATGAAACACCTCCACTCTCCCAACACAGCGACTGCCACCATCCACCAACCTCACACTGACTGTACAACAGAGAGAGAGAGAAAGAAAACGTTTTTGTTGCTGCATATGAGTTGTTGCTTTTTTATATTTGATAAAATATAGCCAGGAAGCAAAATTTAGCCATAAAACAGATAACATTATAAAATATTTAAAAAACACTCCTTTCACCAATGAAGAATCATAAAATAAGAAAATTATTGAAAGAAAAAACAAACATGAAATCTTATCTCATGCTGAGAAAACTCATCTTTCATGTTGATAAATTTACAGTCTGTTATAAGAAATGAAAAGAGCAAAGAGTCGACTTTGCAGGACAATACGTTTGAAATTTTGTAACAAGGTTTGCCCAGACTAACAACTGAAACTAAAGGCACAAACACGCATAGACACATATACACTGAAACTCAAACAGTATGAAACTATTTTAATTATTTACAGTCTTTTGCAAATAATTTGATTCTTTGATCATTTACTTACCAGCTGTGGTGAGTGTGATTATAGAGGACAGAAGAATGAGAGGCACACAGCTGTCCATCTCCCTCTGACCTGCACACAGTTCGTTCAACTCAGCAGCAGAACAAGCTTCACCTCCACTCCCCCCGACAGACTGAAAAAACTGAGAGAGAGAGAGAGAGAGAGAGAGAGAGAGTTCCCGACAGCCGCCAATCACACTCACTATTACCTTATTAGAAAGAGAAGAGGAAATCATCAAACATTTTCAGTGACAAATCAGAGGAGGCATTTTTTTCTTTCTCCATATTTATCAAAAGAGCGTCAGCGCTGATGAACAGAACTCCACCTCCGTCTCTAGAGGCGTGTGTGTGAGGAGAGACGCTCGCAGCAGTGTGGTGAGAAACACACCAACATACAGGAGACTGACTTCAGAGGGGGGAAACACTCCAGTGTAATACAGCATTAATGCTGCACCTGCAGAGAGCTGATCCACACACTGATAACCATCACACACACACACACACACACACACACACACACACACGTAGATAAAAACACACATGCACAATAATAACCTTTCACACACATACACACCTCTGATTTGTTACTGAAAAACTACTCACACTCACACACAGACAAACATACACACACCTGCACATACATATTGATAACCTACTCTCTCACACACACAAAAACACACACAAACACACACACACACACACATACATGCGCACATCCCCCACTCTCTCTCTCTCTCTCTCTTTCTCTCTCTACACACACACACACACACACACACACACACACACACACCTGCAGCTGTGTGGTTTCTCTGTATGTACAAAAATGGAAGTTTTACAGGAATTACTCAGTTTAACTTCAGCTGTCTAATAGATGCTTATCAGCAGAATTAACACACTACACTACATGTAGATCTACTCTAACTGCACATTTCATCTAATATACACTAAACTCTCATTTAACTGATTTACTCTTAATATTAATACACTGGGAAAATAATACTCAAGAAATTATTCTAACTCACTGACATACTTAATTACTTACTTAATTATCAGTCATTCACACATTTGCTTATTTGCTCACTTACTCATTCAGTCACTCACTTGCTTACGTATCCACTCAATAATTAGCCATCATGTCAACATACTCACTCACCCACTCACTCTTGTTTGTGCTCTTGCTCCCTTATTGGCTCATTTTCTTGCCCACTTGTTTACTTACTCACTTATTGACTGGTCTACTAACTCTCTGGCTGCGTCTGAGTACTTTGTTGTCACTCATTTAGTTATTCACTCACTCACACACACACATACACACACACACACACACACACACACACACATATACACATTGATAAACAACTCACACACACATACACACTCATACTGTCTAACACACACATTCTCTGACACATGCATATACACACGCACACTGATAAACTATTAACACTGAGTCAAAACACAGAGACACAAGAATACTACACTTATAAAAGTGTAAAACAAAACATTTTAATACGTAATTATACTGATCTGAACTGAGGAACAAACTGCTTTGTAATTATTTTGTAATAAACAAAAAAGTACATGATAATACAGTGTTTACTGAATGATTACACACTGAAAGTGAAAGCTTAGACAAAAGCATCAAAAGTAAACAAAAAGTAAGTAAACACCATTTCTGCTTTGCACTTTGATTGCAGCTCTCCAACACACTTATGCAAAACACCATACATGGTTTCTTACATTAGACACTTCGTTGGAGACCAAAAGCTCTTGCAATCACTGGGAAAACGCTTCTATTCAAAATGCAAAACATACCTGAAATTGGCAACACCCACACATACACGCCTGAATACACTCACACAGTAATTGAAGACCAATCGTTCTGAGCCTTCGCACTACAAATAGCCCTCAGGTAAGCTCACCACTTTTGTGAGAACTTTGTGAACATGGAGGCATTAAGAGTGAGAGCGAGAGAAAGAGGTAGAGCAAGAGGTGTAGAAGGACGAGAACAAGAACAAAGAAGTAGACAAGGCAATAGACAGAGACATATTTCCGATTACATTGGGGCCACCTTGGTGGACCATGTTATAAATCATGGCCTGACGATGAGGTAGGCTGGGCAGAGAGTCCAGCCCAACCTGAGTCGCTAAATGGTGACATCCACAGTGCGGACATTTAGACTGTCTTCAACTTTCTACACTAGACTGTACCTGTGTAATTGTTGCACATCCTCTTGCATCACAGTACAATAGAATGTAGTCCTACAATATTAGGTTTGTGCTCCTCAATGAATACAAAACATAGGTGTAGTGCTGTGAAGCACATGTAATAGAGTTTTGATGTTACAGTACATGTACTGTGTACAGTATGACAGCATAGTATGTAAAAAAAGAACCTAACCATGTCATGTTCTTGCATTTTCTACAGCCAGACGACCTTCTCAGGGTGGAAGGCACTGTCTTTTCACCCATGAACAGGAACTGGCCATTGTCAGTCTGTTGGAAAACAATACCATCTGCCCACATCAACTTCGAGAGCAAATCATCGCAGATCACATAACATTCCATAACATCAACCGTGTCAGTATATCAACACTCTGCCACTTTTTGCAAAAACACTAACTTATGGAACAGTTGTACAGGGTTCCGTTCAAGAGGAACAGTGTTAGAGTCAAAGACCTTCGATATGACTATGTGCAAGTAAATCACTGTACTACTCTATACTGTAATGTCATTAATGGCAATAGATTGTGTCCTACTGGCACTGCATAGATACATTCATACAAAGCAGTATGCGACCCAGGTAGGTGCCCCCATTCTGGGGATGGGGGGTTTTCTGCGGGGCACCTACCTTGCCTGTAGCTTGTAGTTTTGACTGAATGTGTCAGACCCCCACCACCATCCTTGTGTAAAAATGAAGACATTGCAGTTCTATGTTTTGAGTTACATCACATTTGTGGTACAGTGTGTGTATTTTCTGTTACAGAGAGTCCTGGACTTTGATGCAGCTGCACAGCATCATGAGTTCATTTTCATTGATGAAGCTGGATTCAATCTAGCAAAAACCAAGCATCAGAGCCGAAATGTATTTGAACAAAGAGCTATTGTGAATGTCCCTGAGCAGCGTGGGGGAAATATCACATTGTATGCTGCTTTTAGTCTGCAAGGAGTTCTCCATCATTATGCCACCCTAGGTCCCTACAGTACTGCACACATAATCACACTTCTGTGTTCACTACATAACACACTTGTACAAGATGGACCTGAGCAGCCTAGGTTTGTTGTCATCTGGGATAATGTTAGTTTCCACCGGGCTGCTCTGGTCCAGGACTGGTTCACCAACCACAATAACTTCACAGTTTTATATTTGCCCCCTTGCTTCCCATTTCTCAGTCCAACTGAGGAATTCTTTTCGGCTTGGTGTCGAAAAGTGTATGATCACCAACCACATGCCTGCCTGCCTCTTCTGCAAGCAATGGAAGAGGCATGCAGTGACATTGAGGTGGAGTCAGTCCAGGATTGGATACGGCATGTAAGATGATATTTTCCCTGTTGCCCAGCCAGAGGTGGCATTGCTTGCAATGTGGATTCAGTGATGTGGCCAGTCCCAAACAGAATGCGGGATTCTTAACCATTCCTTACAATCTCATAATATACCTTTTTTGTTTATATCATTGCACTATAATTTTACTGACTTTTTTTGCATGAGTATACTGTTATATATTGTACTGATTATGTACTATACTGTAATTCTATTTTTCTTTGTGTTTTTGGCATAAAAAACCTGCAGTGGTAAAAAATAAAGCTGTTTTCTGAAGCCTTATTTTTGTGTTCATAGAAATGTGTGAATATGTACTGAACTGGAACAATCTTTCACAGAAACCTATATAAAAGATTTAAAAATGTATGCAAAGCAGTAAATACAAAAGTGTTTAGTATAAAGTACATCACGGTGTTGTTGCTGCTTTGAAAGAGTAATTTAAATGGTGCATGAGTGTATAATTTTGTTGCAAAAATGCCATTTTGAATAAGCATTCTTAGGTTTTTAGGAGTTTTATTTTGACATAGATGTGACATATTTATCTCCAACTGTTGTGTCTTCTTTGGCCTCTGTGTTAGATTTTGACACAATGAGCCAAATTACGCAGCAACTGTGTAAGAAATCACAAAAAGCTGTGAGACGTGAGGGAGGGTGTATGTGATGATAGGAGTGGTAAAACTCTCTAAGTGTGTATGAAGGTATGTGTCAACATACAGCTTCTTTTCCAAAAAAAAGTGGGACGCTGTGCAAAATGTAAATAAAAAAAGAATGCAACAATATTCATTCAAACCCTGTATTTATTGAAAATAGTACAAAAACAACATATCACATGTTGAACTTTAATGTTTTTAAAAATTATTTGCCCACTTTGAATTTGATGCCAGAAACATGTTTCAAAAAATTTGGGAC